CATTGGTTTTACTGAGGTTTAGGATATTAAATATTACCATCAGAAACGAATCTGCATTTTGAATAAATAACATCTAACTGGAGGTGTTTGCAGTCATATTCTTTCACAGATATACTCTCCGTCTGAGCAAACTTATCACAGTCAATCACACCTTTCGGAAAACTGCCAAAGCCTCACTCAGAAAAAAAGCGCACTTAAAGAATGATCGCTGTTTGAAAATGCAAAGAGGAACCGCACTAACCGTTCTCCAGCTAATTTGATCCAAAACTTACTGAACAGTGAACGCGTGCTGTTAAACGGCTCCTCATGAATAGAGCCATAACAAAGGAAAGGCTGGAAAGGGTGTGTTATGCAGCTCAAATCGATGACACAAAGTACATTTACATAATTAATGAGCTTCCTGTACAGCTTTGTTCACGTTAACATTTGAAGCAGGTGACAAAGTGGTCGCTGTCTCAGGAGACCTTGGCAATAATCAGAAAGGAAAAGATACGGTTCTAAATCATTTCCTCATATGTATCTCTGACGAATAACACTTTCCGAATGGATCAATGGATTTAGCTCCAGATAACATTTTAACATTATTTGATGGATTCGATTTTTACATTTTCTGGACCTCATGCAAAAGAGTAGTTGCCAGGATGTTACTATGTGGTTGCCAAAGTGTTCTGAGTGCTTTTTAACAACATGCTATCTCCATATCATATTAAATGATATATCATGTGATACGATGTGATGTGATGTGATATGAAATGATATATGAAGATATTTTACTTAATATATATTTTTTTATTTTTCGTTAATATATATTTTATACATTATGTATATTTTATGTTATACTTTATTTTATATTGTAGTTTATATTATATTTTTAGATTTTTATTTAGATTTATATGTATTATTTTATTTTATATTGTTTACCATCATATATTGTATTATCTTATCTTATATTACATTTTGTTTTATATTATTTTATATATTATATTGTAATAATTATATTATAATTTTTTTAAAGTTTGCCATTTATTATCTTATATTATGTTTTTTTTATATCATTTTATATATTATATTATTTTACTATATTTTATAATATTATATCCAGTGCAATTACAAATCAGAAAAACAATTAACAAAACTGCACACACATTATCAATATTTTTGTCTCTGGCAAAACACAATAATGTAATTACTAAATTACATTATTGTAATCGATTGTAAATATTTTAAATATTGTTATTTAATATTCCTCCTCATGCAAAATGTAGTCAGCCTTCAGCCAGAAGGTTCAATCCAATGCACTGATTGAGACAGATCTCTAGAGCTTTTCATGCTGAGGTAAGCATAAGTTGCTCTGATATGAGGAGAGTAAATTCAAACCTTCCCATCACGGATAAAATCATTCCCTGTCACTCAACATTTAGATGATGAACCATCATTTTAAAGGCACACTCAAGGTAATTTTTCCCCATTAGAAATGCTTTACAATATATAGGTTTTGTAAATATGTTTGAAAGCATATCACCGACCTATAAAACTGTTTCAATTTCAAATCAGGCGAAGTTGAGATCACATGTCTAGCCAAATTCACTTTATCACAGTAAAAAGTATCACTTGAACCTGTGAAATAAATTATTTGTGGCTAAGAACATCATTAAGTGAAAACACAAAGGAAAGCAAAAACAAAATATTGAAAATGTACCTTTAATTGAATACAGTGTGTAATGTTCAATAACATCTGCACACTAATTGCACATTGAATTTAATCAGTGCAGCAGTTATGTAAAAAACTAATTACAGGAATGGTGCAGAACATTAGTTTTCAGATGTGAAGGGGGAAATAATGCAACAAAAAAAACAACAACTAATAACTCTGGGTGTTTCTTATCTGTTAGAAACAGAGCTGTATTCACAGTCCCACTCATAGACCCATGCTAATATAAGACTGATGACTAAATAGAATTTGCACACTGAAATTTTATAACATCTTATATCTTACGTTTGGCATCATAGTATTGACAATCATATACCGCTGTGTTGCTTTTTCTACTGCTTTTTATTCGCAAACACAAATGCAGAATCAACAATAACATTTTGTCACGGTGACATTTCTGACATGTCAGCACTTCTCTGGCCGTTTATCGCCATCGCTCTATGCACGCAGGTTGCTCTTTATGGTCGTGGCACCAGGCAGAATATATGCAAATGAGCTGGAGACTACAAAGAGAGGGAGTGATTTGATTATGTTTCAGATAAAGATGCAACATATGAGTCAGCTGCAACCATAGAGGAGAAACGCTGCTCCTTCACACTCCCTTACACTCGAACAACCTTCTAGAATAGGCTCTTACATAAACATTTCAGAAATAAGCGCCATTCACTAGGTGATCATGCTTATCAGTGCAGCATGAATTACTGTGCAAACGCTGACCAGGAGCAATGGTATTCTAGAGATTGTGTTTCCTGGCAAGGAGTACAGACCAGAGTATAATCTGTATTTGAAAGGGACGTGAAAATCATATTTATATGGGAGAAACCTATCAGGAACAGTTACAGTATATTTCACTCCAAATTCAAAGGAAAATGAAGGAAAAGTATCCCGTTTTAGGACCTTTTTTGCAATGTTGACGTTATTTTCACAACAATTAAGTACCATTGTCATTACCATAGTGCAAAAATAATGCTATATTATTTAAAATACGCTAATATCAACTTTATATTGTGCATTTAAGAACAATTTGTTATGATGCTGTTATCATATTATTTTAATTTATTTATGCTAATCATGTAGCAAATAGTAGCTACTTTTACTGCACTTTTTTGTTCTTCCTGTTATTTACCCATAGAGGCTAATAAAGTCTCACACATTCACAATAAAAAGATTATGGCTATGTTGAAATAGATGGATATCATGGAAATATTTGTCACACTAACTTTAATTTATTAATTAAATTTGTATTACAGTAATATTTTGGCCTTAATTTGGCATGAAAACAATGCCACAACTAACAAACACTCTGACGTCTTAGTCACATGACAACAAAACGGCTTCTTTTATGTTGGTTTGCTAACACCTTCCCTGCGTCTCAATGTTCATACTATCCATCCTAAATAGTATGTGAGATTAGAATAAGTGTGTCCCAAAGCATATTATGTAGAAAAGAGTATGCCAAAAGTCCCCCGATGGTCTACTATTTCAGGTCGATTTTTGAAGTGTGGATCCGTGCACACTCTAATGGCTAA